CATTAAAGAATATAGGTTTTCTGACACCAGCTTGGTCTATGTGCTGTGGTTTTGCGTGAAATATCTTCTGTTTCATTGTTTTAAAGAAAGTTGAACACTTTTTAATTTTTATCTTGGATTTTAAGGATTAACTGAGAATATTTAATTTCTGAGTAGTTCAGATTATTTATTTATAAGTTTATGGATATGATCAGAGAACGCAGTTAGGCAAATTTCTTTAAATTTTTTTTTAATGGTTTGTTAAATTGCTTTGGGGTGGGAGTAGCCAAATACATAATGGAAGTTTGTAGGTATTTCAGAGTCAAAGCAGATCATCTGTTCTATGTTTATTAGGCACAGACATGAATGTACATACACATACACACACAACACATGCCTCATGTATTATTTCTATTATTCCTACTATTCATTTTTTCTCAGTTCTTATTTTTTTAAAATATTTATTTTTTGATTGTAGTTGGACACAATACTTTTATTTTATTTATTTGTTTTTCTGTGGTCCTGAGGATCGAACCCAGGGCCTCGAACGTGGTAGGCGAGCGCTCTACCGCTGAGCCACAACCCCAGCCCCTCATTTCTTGTTTTTGAAGTCTGTTTAGTTCCAAGTGAAATACAATAACATCTTCTCTGATTTTATTCTTATCTTGTTCTTGCATACATAAAAATTTTTGCTCTACATTTTTCTTCTTTGTTGCAAACAAACTTGTTATGATCCAATGTCTTCATAAATTGTCTTTTAACGGTAGTGTTTGCTAAGTTTTCTTCATGTTACCACATTTCATTTGAGGATGCAGCTCAGTGGTAGGGTGCACACTTAGCATGGGTAAGACCCTGTGTTCTGTACCCAGCATGCGTGCATAAATAAACAAATAAGAAAAGAAAACATATGTACATATACACACATATAATCACTTTTGATTTGTATTTGTTTGCATTTGTTAGGAACTGTATGTAACATTGTTTTGCTTCTTAAAATTCAGTTTGTTAGTTTTAATGGGAGAATTCAGTCCATTAACATTGAATGTAACCACCAGTGGATTTCATTATTGCCCTTTATCTTAATTTGATAGCCAATTTGTCTATTTTTTTAACTATATACAGTTCATTCTGGGTAAATGCTAAACAGTTTGTGTGAGTTTAGGTCTTGATAAGTTGTATTTGATATGACAGTAAGTGCTCTAAGTGAAAATACCTTAGGTTTGGGATCTATGCCAGAAAACAAGACTGTGGAGATGTAAACTGGAGTTATGAGCTGTGTTTTGTCAGGGTTCTCCAGAGAAACAGGACTGGTGGAATTCCTTTTTCTTTAGGGAAGTACAGTGTGCTCTTAGGGTCTTCTACTGATCGAATTATGGCAGGTAATCTGTTTTAGTCAAAGGCTACTGATTTAAATGTTAATCACATCTTAAAAATACCTTCCCAACAATATCTAAGAGGGGTATTTGACCAAACAACTGGGCACTATAGCCTAGCCAACTGACAAGTGAAATTAACTTAAGCAATAGACAAAACATGAATGGGTAATTTCTAAAACAAATAACAAAATCAAAAACAGCTGAAAGATCAAGGACTTAGCATTAAGGAATTAGCACAGCTGGGTTCCACTGATACAGTCAGAAGTCCAAATGTCCTTATTCTTTTGGTGATACCTAAAGTATGTCCTCAACTTAAAAAATATAAATATATACTTGTTTTTTTCTCCTTTGAGTGTTTGTCAGGTTTTTTTTTTTTTTTTTTTTTTTTAGATCAGAATGTCAGATTGCAGATATTTCCTGAGTATCTGGTGTTGCATCAGCCTTATCTGCTTCCTAGGGATCTGTTGGCCCTGGGGTTATGAGGGCTGAGCTCTGAGTTGCAATACCTTACCCCTGCACAGAGCAGTCCTTGCAGGCCTGCACACAGCCTGAAACTAAATAAATACCTCTCCTTCCCTTCTGCTGCTGTGCAGATAGAGCATCCCTGTCTCCACCTTGCCCGAGCCTGGCACCATCTATTAACTTTATATCTGGGCATATCTATGGAAGGTCTGTGTTTACACTTTGCAAAACCAATATGTACTTTCAGGTAAGTCTAAGAAATAAACACTTTTGGCATGGTTTAATTTACTTGGGATTTTAGTATCCTTAGTTATGAGCAGTTTTATTCAGCTAGGAGTAGCAGCAGCTGTTGGTTAAGCACAGGTGTTCTGAGTTCAAATCTCAGGTCCATCTGGGTTCACACAGACTCCAGCACTTAATAGCCATGTGAACCTGCTCCACTTACCTCTCTTTGAGGTTCACTTTCTCTGAGTTTCATCATACTATTGTTGTGAAGCCTAAATGGAACAATGATTGGTTATTTGAATGATAAAAGTTTTGGGTTTTTCTACTCAAAGAAATATTCCTTTCTACATGACAATTTCTACTTGTGTTTCCTAAGAAACAAAAATTCAGACTCCTAAGTGTTAAATGTAACCTCTTTTAGCAGTTATTTATATGCTTATATTTTCAGGGTCTTTTTCAGTGAGTGGTTTTCTACCTGTATTACAAAATACATTTGTTGAAATAAATTCAAGAGAAAGAAATGTATTTGCTTACAGAGGTAATTATAGATACCTATGATGTTGCTAAATTTAGAAACAAAATAGCTTATCTACATGCATTTCTTGAGCTCTGACTTAGTTGGTGGGGTTCCGAGTCTTAGGCAAATCATGCCATTCAGGGGGACTGAGTTTCATGTTTTCCTCATTTGGAGCCAGGAGGAAAAACCATTACTGGCCTGGTCACTTCTAATCAAGTCCTGGCATTTCTGCCCTGCCCTTGTGCATTGTCCTTATTGTTGAGATTGTTGTTGCCCAAAACATTCCCCACACTAAATAGTCCAAGATTCTCACATCATCATAATGATGTCATCCTTGGTTACAAATTCTTCACTCATCATTTACCTCTGCCTGCCTGCCCATGAATGGGTTAACCAAGCTGCTTTCACCTCTAAATTATTTCTGGGATTATCTCCATGTGCCTTTCCCACCTGATTCTTTTGGATCTCTTCTCCAAGCTTGATTTCAGTAAGCAAAAGCCGAGATATTGTAGTTTCCTAAATAACCCAAAGGGAAGATTTGGCCTATTAGAACAACTCTGATTGTCGAATCAGCTTTCACATGCTCTTCTCTCTAATGGAACTTTGAGGAATAACTGTAATTGAATTGTGCCTCCACGCCATCTGCAGATTTCACCAAATAAAACCTAGATCTGGTTCTCTCTTGTTTGTTTCACATTGTGTTTGTGCCCCATTGAGTAGAGCATCAGCTTGGGCTTCATCTGGATGTATTTTCAACTCACAGAGGCAGTAACTGAATGTCTGACAGTAGCCTTGCATCCAACTCTGGCTGCTATATTAAGCCAGTCTACTTCTTGGTTCCCTTCAAAGGTAATGTCCCATCTGTTGACTGGGAACTATGGCAATGCAAAACTCAGAATCATCAGAGGATAGGATCCAAAGCATCTTTAATTCCCCCTCTGGAAAGAGCCATTCTGGGTTTTTGAAGTAGTTGCATTGCTCTCTCTCAGCAAGGTGGAGAGGTTAATATTTTTGCTCTCTAACCTTTGAGGACACGTGCTGTGGGCCTGGTGCAGTTTGCAGCAGGATCTTTGACAAGTCTGAGCAGGCAGTTCTTTTAGCTATTGCTGATTCTCTGAAGTGTTGAATTGGATTCTGCTTGAGGCTACCTGAAAGTGCTTCTTAGTTCGTCCTGTGTTGTTTCATTGAGCTCCCTCTTCAGTCCCACTGAGGAACTTTATGCTATGGCATGTGACAACCACTAGATAACATTATGATAAATTCCTGTGGGCTTGGATCAAACTCCACTTTCTGGGGCCTCAGCGTCAACAATCGTAGACTTAAGGAATATTAAGTGTCTACAGTGAGTTTAGAAGCGAAAAGAGAGTGCTGAGTTCAGTGTTACCTAGAGGGTTTGTGTACAAATTTGGCAGAAGTTGTCCAAACCTGTGCAAACAGTAAATATTCTGTAAAATTTGAGATAGTGAAAGAAAGAAGGATCAAATATCTCTTAGATCTTGTTGACCATTCCTCAAAAGCCAAAATTAGATTTTAGCGTTATTCTAGTGACTTCCACAAACCAGGTTGGACATGCAAAAGATGTGGGTGAGTTAGGAAAGAGTTAAAAAATTCTCTACACCTTCTCCCACAACTGGCAACCATAGAGGCCAAGAGAAAATGTACACACACACACACACACACACACACACACACAAAACACATACACAGGCTCAGGCAGGGAACCTGTTTTGCAAGTTTTGCTGGTTAAAAAAAAAAATAGGAAGGGGTTTGCTGGAGAGCAGAGTGGGAAAGCCTTAGAAGTATCAATTGAAGATTTTTCAGAAACCTGAGTTTTCAAAGTAACTTTATCCTGCAGAGAGAGGCACACATGTGCCGCTGTAGTTTTTTTTTTCTTCCACTGATTAAGTGCATTGTTAGACAGGGAGGGGCAGATTAACGAATGCCTATAATTTTGATCATTGTTTTCTGCAAAACAGCTCAGGCTTTGAAAATGAAGCCATCGGTCTTGGCTAAGTTTCTGCCAACAGCACAAATTACACTGTGCAGAGATCCAAAGCCCCTAAAAAGGTTTCATTAATGAACAATTTCAGACGATTGTTTAAGTCTTTGCCTGACAGGTAAGGTTGGCATGTAGGCAGGTGGGGTTAAAGTTTCCATGGAGATTTATGATGTCATGCTTGAAAGAGCATGTCAAGACAGCCAATTTAACAAGTAGCTACTCAAATAGTCCTATAGGCTACAAGTCGGTTTTATGCAAATGACAAGAGTTTTACTGGGAAAAACTGCAAAAGAAAACAGTAGAGACATGGAAGGGGGGTTTACCTGACAGCTCGGAAGGATGACCCCGGAGTGCAGGAGAGACGAAAACTTCCAGAAGACCAGTTAGATTTTCTGCCTTAACGGCAGCCTCACCTGTGGCGCTCTGGGTGCAGGTAAATATGTGTCTTTTTTTTCCTTCCAAGTTATTGCCAAAAATTATTTGGAAACCTTGTGGTCTGTTTCTGTGCATTGTTCTCTTGGCAGGAAGAACTGAATAAGCACAGCTTTCCCACACCGAATGTTGAGCTTCAGGGCTGTTTTAAGGGCTTTTTGTTGTTGTTGTTGAATGAATGGAGATCTTTTGAATAGGGCTGAAAAACAAAAGATGCATTATGCATTATGCTGATTGTGCCCTGTGAATAATGTGGTAAGAATGCCATAGATAAGGATTAGAAAGACCATCTGAGAATCGAGATACTATACATATTTGTTGATTATTCCCAGATGTTGTGCATGCATTTTCTTCTTCTACTCCATAATTGGGGCTATGAATAATTCTGTATGTTCACCTTGTAAAATGCCCCCCAAAATAAAATCCCTGGAATAGCACAGGAATTGTCTTGGAATCAGGCTCAGGAACATTGCATGTTTGTGTTGTTTTGTTTTAATGTGGATAGTATACTTTGCTCATAGACGCATTTTCTGGGACTAAAAAAAAAAAAATTCTGTTTGAGATATTCATTTCTGGACTTTTAGGGAAACAGGAGTTCTAAATTCTGAGAAAAGAGACAAAGGCTTCTTGGGGGAAAGAGGGTAGTTAGAGGTAGTTTGTTTGTAAAGCATGCTTTATTTAAATAGGAAACCCCCACACCTGGGAGTAGGGGGTTTTCTGTTTGCATCAGGCATGCAGATGGCAGGTAAACATCTTGATAGTCATTTGAGTGTGATAAGGATCACTCAGGTGGCTGTGGATCAGGGAGTTAGTTGAGGGACAACAGTTGAGGTGAGCAGTTAAGTCCACCAAGATTAAAAGGAACACAAAGAGAACTCATTTGTCTCTTACATGCAGCACGTGAAGTTAAAGCACAGAATTTAAGGATACCTGTGCAGTCGGAACTTGGACTTTTGAAACAAAAAGTACTTATGAGCAAGCTGATAGGTTTTAAAGTGTTTTAGAAACTAATATATGAACATGAGACTTCCTGAAATTTTGCAGTTGGATAGCATGGATTAGTGCCAGGATTGCCATTCATATGAAATTGTGATTGCCACGGTTATTGCAGAAAAGTGAATGATAAAGGGGACTTTGCAGCCTGGCAGTGCCACGTATTATCTGTGTAAACTTGGGAAAAGTAAATTCGTATCCCTAAGCCTCAGTTTTCTTCTCTATAAAATGGGGGTAACAGGAGCAACATTGTGGCACAATTCTAAGCATTCATACTCCATGTGTTAGGGATTGTTTTTATTTATAAGAAACTGGACTATTTATAGTGGCCCTCCCATCCTTTGTCTTATCATTACAACAGCCCAGTGAGACTCTCAGAGTCTTTTTATTCCCAGCTTGCAGATGAAGAAACCATGGCTCATTGAGAGAAAGAAAAATACTACATAATAAACCATTCTGCATTTTTTTCTGATCTTAAGGAGCATAGAAAAAAATTAATGTGACTAAAATAACTCCCAGCAGCAAGCAATTATTCTTATAAATTAATTAAAATACAAAATGTTAAGTGTGTCAAAGGACCTAGGATATTCTCTCTCTCTTTTTTTTAAACAAAGTTAATTGCGCTTATGTCTTTTTCCTAGAGAGGAATATAGAAGTAGCATTAATTTACTTTTTACTGGTTCCTATTGATAGGAGCTCTAATCCACTGCATAGATTTAAATTTTAAAGCCTTATCTTCCTCAAATTTCTCTCAGCCCCAAGAGAAGAATCGGGTTTGATGTTACAGATATTTGCTGAGCAGAAACCTGAGTCACCTGGGGGCTGGGAGTTCCACAGTGTGCAGAAGCCAGCCAGGAGTTGATCACACTGTCCCTTTACTCCCTTTGTGTTCTGGATGTTGGCACCTCTTCCCTTGTCTTCATCCCAGACGGATACACAGCCCATAATTATATTCTGCATCCATTGTGTGGAAGACACAAATATGTTTTTCATTGTGTTATTTTTAGTAGTCGTGTTTCTAGCCAGGGAAAATACTCTATTAGTTCCAGAGTTTTTCTAGCGACTTTTCTAATTTTTCCATGTTACGCTATTTGGAATGATTCAGGTTCCGTACTGCTGCAAGGAGGGTCTTTTAGCAGAAGTCTTGGGTGGGCCCATCAAGTGGGATTCTAATGGACAGCTTTTGACAGACATCTGAACCGCCAAGGCTGAGCCCATTCATTGGCAGATAACCTCAGTGGTCAGATGAATTCGGCTGTGAGGCTGGCTCCAACTCTGGTTATCTTATCTCAAGGGCAGATCTAGAAGTCTGAAATCAAATATGTATTTCATTCAAAGTTTCAGAACCGCAAATCAGCAATTGTGAGGTGGAAAGAGAGCCAGGAAATCTAACAGCAATAGGGTACCAATATTCCAAATAGGTTGGAATCACTAATGAACATTCTTACTCTTTTTTTTTTTAAATCCTGCAGACCATGCTTTAAAACTCCATTGAAACTTCATATTGCACATACTTGTTGTGGTGATCAGAGATCTCTTTGGTCAGTAAGCAGAGATGAGCTCCAGAAGTGCACTTTGCACCAGGACTTAGGGAAGACTTGGGTAGTCAGAGGATCCCTGCTCAGGGGTTGAAGAATTGGGTGGCAGGCACTGGAATCCGGGATCCATTCCTCATTCATAGCATAAAACCCCTACAGGTTTGTTCATATTCTAAATAAATACAGCATCTGAATTTTAAAAGTTTCTTCATAAAGGAGATAGCGATCTTTAAGTATTACATTATTCTCTTGTAAAAAAAAAACTGTTTTGAAATTCTCATGTAAGTTATTTGTAAGTCATTTCTTCAAAAAGAAAGAATCTCCCAGTGCCAGAAATGGATCTAGAAATTTCTCTCAGGCTGGCTGTTGAGGAATCAGAGAGTAGAAAGTTCTCCTGAACTCCATCAGAAACACCCCCAGTTTTACTTTTGTGTGTGTGTGCAGGGTCTCACATGTACCTAGCAAGTGCTCTAGGCAGAGCTACACCTGCAGCCCTGAAGGCAGGATTCTGTCACTAAATCTGCTCTCCCTCATGGTTTCATAACCAAAGAGATAAGCCCCAGCTTGGTTCATTATGACAGTTGTGTGATGTTAGGGCAGCTGGCGGTCTTGAGACCTGTGGGATGTCTTGGGAAGAGTGCAATCAGAATGGCTTTAAGTGGGCCAGGATGAGCTTTATCCTAAAGACAGGAAACTCTGCTGCTTTTGTTTCCAGAAAACAGACCAAATAGGCAGCAGAAACAACATTCAGATGCCCAGCTGTATGAATCACAAAAGCAAATGTAAAATATTATGCATGTGGACAAAACCTTAACCAGGGCTTACTGAAAGTAGCTAATTTAATGGGATACATGAATTCTGTCAGTCAGTACAGGTTGATGTTAGCATCTGTTGGCTCTGATGGCCCCAGAATTCTGCATTGCAGTTTAATTTCACAGCTCGTTTCTATTGTGTGATTTTACCTTCCATTCCTTTCTGTTTGCTCATGATTAAGCAAGTGAAGTAAGAAAGGTATTTCCCACTCTTAGTTTTATTAGGGCTGGTAAATGCAGATGATCATGTTGACCATAAAACTAATGGTGAGAGTCCTCTGCACTGTGGGCTTTCCTGGGCTCTTTGCCCCTGCTTTGTTGTGATCAAGTAAGATGAAGAAAGCCAAGGCCCAGTCACAGAGATGCTCTATAGGACTGCCACATGGTGCCATAGACTTTTCCGAGAGGACTTTCTTTGACCATACTGTTTGCCATTCAGAAGCAAAGCAGGCTGCCGCCTCCTGTTTTGGAATGGCTGAGAGAACAGAGAACCAGATGGACCCTTGGTCATTTTCTCTCTTTGACATTAAAAAATATTGGTGGATACCCCTCAGAATATCAAGGAGGATGTCAGGTCTCATTTACATAGTAGTCATTACTAAGAAAAACATGCTGTAGCCGTTATTTGGCTTGTCATTCCAGAAGGACAGGTTTGTTGTTTTGTCATTTTGCACTGAGAAAGGTTATATAAACTCCTTTTTTTTTAACTGTATTATTATTTGGTTCCCTTCTCAGGTTAATTTTTAAGACTCCAGAAGAAAGCAAATTCCAACCAATTGCTTCATAAAGGACAATTTTCAGTTTCTTCTTTGTGGGGTGTGTGGGTGTGGATGTATGTGTTTATGACTTCGAGAATAGCACAAACTCTTATTTAAAACTCTTCTCTCTTCAGAGCAATTATAACTGTGGCTCCATAATATATTAACTTGACCCATTTTTAATTGCTCTTTAGATTGCTTTTTTTTTCCTTTCCCTATTATGAATAGTACTGCACTGATCCTCTTTGGAACGATGCACATGTCAGCACATCAGAAGGACAAATTTCTTGATGTCAAATTGGATTACTAGAGTTGAAAGGTATCGCCCAATTTTCTCTATAAAAGACTCACCAATTTATCGTATCAATAGGAATGTCACAGAGGATGTTCTGGCACATTCATGTAATGCAGTTCACTGCAGTCATGGCAATACGTGAAGGAGACCCTCCATCCACATATGGACACATAACTAATCATGCTACACAAGCAGTATGAGCTACAGAGCAATATAGATAACAGGATCCTATTTATTTTAAAAAGGGTCTTTTTAAAAGGTCTTTAAAAAGGTCTGTAGGACCCTATTGTATGAGAAAGCATATACATTTTCTGTATACTTATCTAGACCTTAAAATTTCCTAAAATGATGTCATATCATAGAGAGGAACTAGCAAGCTGTGAGAAGCAAGTTTTATTAATTTCTGTATTTCTCTACTATGTACATTTTTACCACAGACATGTAATACTTTGATACTTAAAAACTAGTTTTAAATGAAACCAATTATATAAAACTATAATGCACTAATAAAAACATAAATTAAAAACAGAATACAACTAGTTGCCCTGGAGTATAGCATGTGTTCTTTTGAGGTAAGCCTGCAGTTTCCAGGTAGGCTGAGAAAAGTGACTTCATGTCATGTATCAAAGCAGGTGTATGTTTATACTGGTGGAGTTGTCCCTTCAAGAGGGAAGCAGGTCTCTCCTCTGTCCTTCTTTATAGAAGCAGCCGCCTCTGATGTCTTCCCTAAATGAGTTTATTCCAATTAGAATCCCTCCTTTCTAAACAAATCCTGTTTTGCATTCCAAGTATCAGGTGTGTTTGATTTAAATGTTTTTAAGTTGCTGGTACTTTTCAACAAATACAAAAACTCATCTTTGTAGGGCAGGGCATCTTTTGACCCAATGTACAAAATATCTCTTTATAACTAAATCCCACCCCTTACCAAGGTACTAAGAATCTACTGTAGATAAAGGCTGTTTAGGTTTCTGTAGGAAGTCCAAACCTGTATATTGATGATTCTGTTTCCTAAGTGAAAATAACAACCGTTTTCATATACAGAATATTTAGATTTGCAAAGACTGTTAAGCTCTTTTTTGTTTACCACAGAGCAAGTCAAGAATAGAAGGCACACTGTCAGAGGATGTCTTATGAAAGGAAAGAAACAACACATGTTATACTCCCAAATCACCAAGCAAAGTCTTAGACGTGGTTTTAAACTCCAACTCCTCTTTAATTCAGATGCACAGAAAGCAGTCAAACCTCAAGTGTAGGGGGTTTGATTTGTTAGCACAAATCCCAGTAACTATCTTCACTGTAATTAAACTCTTCTTCCTTCCTCCTTCTCAAAAGCTACTTCTGAAACTTTGCACTTTCCCTAAATATAGTATTATTTTTTTAACTTCATAAAAATCTCAGTTCTGCAACTTACTGCAAATATTTGCAAAAGGGGAACACATATAAAATAAATGCCTCTTAATATAGTGTTTTGTGAATAAACATGCCTGGCATTAGTTGGTTAACCTAAAAATTAATGAGAAACAACTCTGCTTAGAGGAAAAGAGGGTAAAACTGTGGCTGTGGTGTGCAAATCAAGGGAAAGCTGCAATTTAAGTAATTCAATTAAAGAGAACATAATTACCTTAGCCCCAGGTTGGAGGAAGGTCACTTTTTAGTCTAATTGAACTTTTTCTGAATCTTTAGAAAAATGGGCCAAATTTGCTATATCATAGATTATCTACAATATTTTCTTCCTCCACATATTAAATACCATTGGCTATGTAAGACATATATATCCAAATCGTATATTCCTTTTTGCATTCTAATGTAATACAATAAAAATTTTCCCTGTATGCATTCAAATCTTTGCAAATAAATATGGGTACTAGAATCTCCATATTATATCACTTGCTATATGTCAGAAAGTTTCACACAAGTTATTTCAAATATAATTCTTTTTTTAAAAAGTTCTTATTTATATGTATGAAGAGAGACACATGAATAAAGCAACTAAGGTTCAGAAAAATCTAGAAACTTGATTCTTTAAGCAAAGGAATAGGGATTTGAACTCAGCAATTCTGATTCAGCCTAGGGCATTTTTTCTGGGCTCCCTGAGGGGTGTGCTATGAAAACTGTGGCTCTTTTTATGAGGTTGGATTTCCAAACACTATAATCATGCTGGGAATGATTTACCACATGCCTTTGTAGCCTGAAGTTCTCTTTGGCACCTCCTACCTTTACTTTTTTTTTTCCATTTCAATGACACACCAGAGGGTGGAGTTGAGCAACCTGATGGAGTTGGAACAGCCATCCTTTTGCTACTGATTAGGAATACTCTCAAAAAGGGAGGGAGGGAAGGAGAGCTTAGCTTAACCCTAAAGTCAAGCCTAAAGATTACTGGTCAGGAATGTCAAAAGCATTTATTAAGCAACCTTCTTCCTGGCATTTTAGGAAGAAAGCCTCACGCACAGATCAAATCTCTTCCTTCGGAAACCTGTACTCTGTGAACAGGCCCTCAGATTTCACCTCAAAGAAAGAACAATTGACAGTTCACGGGATTTAACAGCATGGCGCCATTCATATATTTTGAGCAGTTGCAATCATGTGGATTGCAAAGTGCTTACTGGAATTAGAGACAAATGGGGCAACTTTCAGAGGTTTAGACATAAGAATAGATTGGCAGGTATCTGTCTTGGGGCCAGGGTCTTCAGAAACACCTGCTCAATGACTTCTGCAAATTTCAATAAAACACTAAAATGTGGTTATGCGTATAGCTCAGTGGTAGAGTACACACTTTGCATGCTTTAGGGCCCTGAGTTTGGTCGTCAGCACTATAAAAAATAAATAAAAGAGTCAAAACGGACAAAACCACTAATGCTTTGAATGGCTTAGAATTAGGCATTTTCACCTAAAAATCAAATTTCTTACATCCTGACCAAAAAAAAAAAGAAAAGAAAAAGAAAAAAAAATCATATGGTCAAGAAACACCATCAGAATCTTTGGTAGCACTAAGTAGCAGCCGCCCCAGTAATATGGGGATGTAGACTCCGGGGTGCACTTTAACCCCCCAGTCTCTGTCCACACCTGCTATCCTTACCTGTTTGATTCTACTATAGACTATGACCCTAACCTAATGTTTTTGTAGGCTTTCTCCAAGAAATAGTGCAAGAGATGAGAGGGATCTTACCTTTGTTCTTGGCCAGACTTAGCTTTAAGAACTGGTTCTACCACTTACTATTTGTGTGGTCTTGAGCAAACCTGATCTAAGTAAGCTTCCACTTCTGCATCTGAAAAAAAGGGCTGAGAACTCCTACCCAGCAAATTGGTTTGCAGATCAGAGGCCTTATATGAGAAGTACTTAACACAGTACCAGGCATGTGGTAGAAGCTCAGTACATGGCAGCAAGTATAATGGAAACATCTCCTGAAACATTTTGTGAGAAAAGGTCAATTTCTGCCCAATCAGTGACTTAAGTTCAAGGTGGAAAGGTTCTTTGAATATATGATGGGAGTCATCTTAATTTCATGGAGAAGAATCCAAAGTTAGAAGAGTTGACTAGTACAAGATTACTCCATTACTTAAAGGCAAACGGTTTCAGAACCAGTGGCTTTGACTTTCCATGGATCCATGAAAAGGCCTTAGAATGTGGCTTTGATGTTTAACTATGTGAAATTATGCTAATTGAATTTTAAGTGAAAATAATTTTGAATAACATTAAGATGGTACAGCAACATGTGATCTGTTTGATTTAGGAAAAAAAAAAAAAAACTCAACCATTTATTCATTTAGCACTGAAACTTTAGTTCAAATAGGTCTTGCACCGGACACAGGGAATACACTACATGAGATGACAGGATCACTCACTTCCTTCACAGAGCTTAGAATCTAATGGGAGAAGGCAGAGAAGAAAGCATAGTTCTCCATCCTCATCCATGGTTTCACTTTCTATAGTTTCATTTCCCCTGCTATCAACTTCAGTCTGAAAATATTAAAATCCTAGAAATAGACAATTCAAAACTTTAAAATTGTATCACACTCTGAGTAGCATGATAAAATCTTGTACCTGCCAGGATGTGAAATGTCCCTTTGTCCAGTGTATCCAAATTGTATATGCTACCCTCCCATTAGTCACTTATTAGTTATCTTGGTTATCAGATTAACTACCATAATATCATATTACTTGTGTTCAGATAACCTTTATTTTACTGACTAATGGCCCCAAAGCACAAGAGTCATGCTGGTTGGCAATTTGAATATGTTGAAGAGGAAAAAAATATATATAATAGTTTATATATTCAGTACTATCCATGGTTTCAAGAAGCCACTGCTGAGGGGCTTGCCATGAAGGAAATAAAAGAGTTACATGAGAAAGAAGCCAGGTAAGAAAACAGGCTAGGCAAATAATGGGCATGTTTTTCAGGAAGAAGAGTAGCAAGTGCATGGACCCCAAGGCAGGAAGAGACTTGTCTGTTGAATGACTCAGATGACATGAAAGAGGCAGCTGTAATTATAAAGCCACAGTTAGGACTTTGGAGTGCATTCTTTGGGTAGTGTGAAGATTTTAAGTAGGAGAGTGATAAAATATTTTTAGCATTTGTTCAAACAGTACACAGAAGTTCCTTTGAGTGGGTTGGGGGACACTTCTAACTAAGCCTGTCCTCTTTTTGGTCTCTGTGGCTGTCCTTAAAGGAGCCCTGTAGAACTAATTCTAGGGCTCCCCAAAACACACTGTGGGCAGATTACAGAATCTTGAGGAGATATGATTTGTGCCACAGGGTCTCATACCTGGTGTCCAGGAGCACAATGCATCATTCTTGTCATTAGCCCAAAGGCTAAATGTAGATGTATTTTTTTTTTCCCTCTAGTTCTAAATCCAGTCAGAGCAGGTTACTAAAATATTTCCTCTTCACCAAAAAAAAAAAAAAAAAGAAAAGAAAAAGAAAAAAAAAAGCTATACATTGATGCAGTAATGTGAAATGGGATACATTGTTATGAATCCTTGAGTTTGGATTTTTCAAGTGACATAATGGTACATCAAACCTTTGCCTTTTTATCTGCTCTCAGTGGGAAAAAAATAAATAATGTATATTTCAAGGAGCCAACTCTTAGTTTCTCCCCTGTCTTCGCTCAGACTGGGCAATCAGAATATACCCAGTGAAGGTTGGCAGAACAGATAAGCAATGTAGGCACTGGTTTTTGCTTTTGTTTTGTTTGTTTTTGGTGCTGGGCATTGAACCCAAGACCTTGTGCACATACTAAGCCTGTGCTTTATCACCAAGCTACACTCCCAGCCCCAGGACTGTGAGTTCCCACTAGCACCTTTAACACCTGGAATCCAGGTTTCTGACTCTGACCTTTGAACAGCATGTCTTGCTCTTCAGAAGCTGCCCTGTGACAGCAGCAGTCAGATGCTGTGGGTGACCCAAACCTCACTATCAAGAATGTGGTGGGTCTCAGGCATTTGTGTGTTATATCCCCCACCCCTTTATTCTCCTGTTCTAGAAGTTCCAAAATAGCATATTTTAGAGGCAGATATGGCCACAAGGGATGCAGACTCACCATGCGTACATGGCTGTTCAGGCTCAAGCAATTTGAACCAACACTGGCATTGAGACAGTTGGTTATTTGGCCACTTGATGATAAAGCCATGATCAAGGTTTTTTTTTTTTTTGGTGGGGGGGTATGAATTACATAAAAATCTGTCTCTAATCTCACATCGCTTGTGAATATTAACTGTCTCTGTATATACCTGCAAGCTGTAAGTGGCCCCTTCCCACCATTCTGTTCACTTTAATTTCTTCAGTGATTGGCATGTGGGTGGAGCCTATTTGGTCAGGTGTGATGTATGAAAAAGAGTCACATTCTTGCCTTCATTTTTATTTTTGGTTTTTTGTTTTTTGTTTGTTTTTTTTTGGTGTCTACATCCGGATTTACCTAAACCCCACCCCACCCAGTCCGCATCTGCATAGCAATGAAAAACCAGTATTTTCTACCTGTGAATCACACTTCCAGTCCTGAGCCTGTCTGTCAGGACAGCTTGCTGGAAGGAATGGGTAAGACTGAAGGCCGGCTAAGTGTGAAGGGGGCAGGTCCTGTCACTCTCGGGCCAGGCTCTTGACTGCTCTGAGAAGGTTAAAGGTCTGGCCGATAGCCACTACTGGATGTGGACATGGAGCCTCCAGTCTGTCCTCTGGGGGAAAGGCCACAGAAGGAAGGAGGGCTCATGTGTTTCTGCTGTCGGGGGCCCCGGAGTGCACCAGCCAGAAGCCAGGTACAGAAGTGGTGTGATTCAGGGGTGGGGGTTGCCTTCCTCTCTGGGGTCCCTAGCCTGCTGTGTCATGTTCCCAATCACCTGGGCGACTCACCTGAAAGTGGGTGGTTCCTGGCCAATTCTTGCTGAGTGGGAGCCAGAAAGGGCCACAGGTCACAAGGTTTCTTTTAAGTTCAGTTATGCTTCTCAGTGAGAGGATGATTGCTCAAAGCAGTTAAACCTTGTTTAATGATAATTAAATTGCTTTCCTTTATTCTGAAACATCTCTTAATTTTGCTGCACAAAGAAAGGAAGCATTTTTCTTTGATTCTAACAGACTATTTCTAGGTAGGGTGTAATCAATGCATCTCACTTTGCTGGACTCTGAAATCATGTGTCTGTGCTCTTCTGATTTGGAAATGCCATGAAAGTTAGCAAACCCAGTGCTGCCGGTGAAAACTTTTTAAGTCAAAAAAGCTGCTTTTTCCCTACTTCCTCTTCTCCCTCTGGTTCTGCCTTAACACTTTGCTTTTGTTTGTTTGCTTTTTGCTTTTTTTGTGCTGCTGGGGATGGAACCCAGGCCCTCCTACGTGCTGGGCAGGCACCGTCTCACTGAGCTACACCCCCAGCCCAAAGAATTTCTTAAACACACGCACTGCTGCCCTGGAACTGGGCTGCTTCACCTTTTCAAAGCGTGGATGAGGCTTGGCACGTTCCATCTTGTTCCTGCCTGACTTAGACACGGCATGAGGACGGTGTTGATCTGTCACAGTCGCCTACAGTCCTCAGAGCTCGGATGGTAGAAGCCTCCAGGCTTTCCAGTGCTGAAAAGTTCATCATCTGTCTTCCCACGAGGAAAATGTTTTGAGATGGTGGAGGCAGGGGAGAGACTTTCATTGAAGCCCACGTAGGAAAAAAAAAAAAAAAAGTAAAACTTCAAAAATAGAGAAGCCCTAGAACAGGGATTCATTTGACAGATCCTTGTATCTGATCTGTTATTTCATCGGCCTGTCTTCCTGTTGCCAGAATGAAGATGTTCTGGAAAGAAACCTTAGGAAACGACGCCTGGTTAGCAAGTTTCTTATAGGAACAGAGTGGAGAGAAAAAAAAAGAGTTTTCTTAAAAGAACTGAACCAACTGTGGTTTTAATAAGCCTGAGTTTTAAATTTTAATAGAAATTATGGGCAATATGGGGGTGTGTGTATGTGTATGTGTGTGTGCCTGAGTGTGTGTGTGTTGTGTTTTAGAGCATTTGAACATTTTGGTTAAGACTGTGCTGCTGCTATCTCAGGTTTGGAGGCTAATTCCGTGGCCTTGCATGCTTTGTTCAGACTTCTTTGGGCTGAGATGATACTGAGCAGGAGACCCTGGCAGCAGAAGGAGTTGGGGGTAAGAAATGGAATGTTGAGTTGAAGAAGAGTCACTTCAGAATAAGATACATAATATGGTCACAGGAAGAAAAACAGCTGCTGGTCATTTAGGTGGAGAAGAGAAGAAAGATCCAGTAACTTAGAAGGGCTATAAAGATATTTCAGACAGGCAGAGTTTGAGCCCATATAAATGTATAGAACCAAGATGGTCAGAAAAAAATATTTTTAAAGATAATATGAGCAGAGTGAGGTAAGGAAATACACAGTCATCATATTGGTGGCTGTTAGTCATCTTTTCATAGCTATGACAAAATACCTGAGAAAATCAACTCAAAGGAGGAAATATTTCTTTTGGTTCACAGTTTCAGAGATTTCAGTCCATTTTGCCTAGCCCCATCACTGTGGGCTGGTGGTGAGGCAGAACAGCATGTCAGTGTGTGTATGGTAGAGTAGAACTGCTCACCTGATGGCAGCTGGGAATTAGGGGGAAGACTGGGGACAAGATACAACTTTCAAGTACATGCCCCCAGTGACCTGCCTCCTCCAAATAGGCCCCATCTCCTAAAGTGTCCACCACTTTCCCAGTAGCCTTACCAGCCAGGGTCTGAGCCTTCAACACAGGGGGTACAGGGGCAGGGGACATTCCAGGTCCAAACTATAGAGTGGCATAATAGATGCTAAGGTTTATATATGATTTGTTCCCTCCAAAACTCACACTGAAACTTAATTTCCATGTTGTATCAGGAAGTGGGGTCTTTCAGAGGTGACTAGGTTGTTAAGAGGATGAATGCCTTTCTTGTGGGACTGGTTTAATCTTGAGGGATTGGATTAATTCTAGAAGGACTGGATTATCTACTGTGAGAGCAGGTTAGGGTTTTGGATCCTTGTGTGGCTTTTTGCTTTCTGCTATGAGTTGAAGTAGCATGAGGCCCTTGCTGGAGCCCTGCTCTTTGACTTTCCAGCCTTCAGAACCACGAGGCAAAGTAAACATCTTTCCTTGATAAATATCTCTGTGTCAAGAATATTGTTACAGCAAGAAAAAATGGACAAAAAAAAATGAGAAGGGTTAGGGTAAAGGCTTCTGCATAGAGACTTTAGTTCTTCTCCTGCTAGAAGAGGGGGTTTAAGGATATTCTGTTTGGGAGAGGCCATTCAGTTTCTACCTGGTTTTCTAATGGCTTTTTATAACTTTAGTGTATTGAGGAAATGGAAAGGTAGGTATCATTTATTAGAGAAACAGCTGGCCAGAAGCATGAGCTTCTTCTTGAGGAAGGATGGCAGGTAACAAGGGAATAGTGCTCAGAATTCCCCTAAGCTGGTCACATAGTACACAGATTCACAGACACCTGAGGTTAGCCCACATTGGATACAGTATCCTTCATGGGTTCCTGATTCCATCATGGGGTCCTAAGACTCTTTGCTTGTCAAAGTAAGACCACCTACTTACATCTTAGACTTTTTTTTTTTTTTTGGCACCAGGGATTGAACCCAGGGATGTTTAACCACTGAGCCACATCCCAATCCCTTTTTATTTTTTATTTTGAGGCAAGGTCAGCTAAGTTGCTTAGGGCTTCCCCAAGTTGCTGAGGCTGGCTTTGAAGTCGTGTGATCCTCCTGCCTCAGCCTCCTGAGCCGCTGGGATTACAGGCATGTGCCACCGCGCCCAGCTAAGTCTTTGTCCTGATCTGAGAATCCAAGTGAACTCAGGTCCAAATTTATCTCAGCGAACCAAAGATGTAAGAGCTAAAAGGTATTTTCAGTCTTCTCCATGTGACAGACGAGGACACTGAAGCCAGAAAGCTCCGGTGACTTATCCAGGGACACACAAGGAATTAGTCAAAGATGTGGAATTGGGAGACCTCCTGCCTCAGGCTAATGAGTTTGTGGAGGGAGGGCAGAAGGATATGGATAAGGCAGGATGATCTAGCAGTCTCAGGGGAGCTGGTGTGCACTCTGACACGATCTGGGTGGATGAGTATTCCGATTCTGACTCAGGTCCTGCCTCCCACCTTTCTCTTCCTTCAGTGGCCACACAGGTAGCCAGGGGAGTCCACTGGTGTTTCCTCCCAGGTGCATATTTCCCAGGGCTTGTATCAGTCTTTAAGAACTCTGATAAGTGCCTTCTATCACGAGCGGTCTACATAAGCAGATTCTGCATGGGAAAAGGAAAGTGATTGCAGGTGGGAGAGAGAAAGTTATATTTGATTATTTATTGTTTTCCAAACCCCAGATACACACACACACACACACACACACACACCAAGACAGCATGTTCGGAACCCTGATTGGCTTTGAAAATCTGGAATTAACTGTCACAATGAAGTGAAAGGTGAATGAAAAAGCCAATCTGTCCAAGGTCCAGGCTGAGAATCAGGGCCCAGCACAAGAGTGGTCGCCTAGACCCGCGCATGACAGTGAGCAAACCCGGCACACAAGCAATTCCCTCCTTCTGGAGCTTTGGTATCAATGAGCCTGTGATGCCCATCGGCACTGTGTCTTAACAAAGGTGATACCCTTCCGCAGGAAGTTATTTCCCCTCAAAGCCCAGGGCTCAGGGGCAGCTCTGGGAAGATGAACCACTCTCTGATTCCAGTATGTGCACGTGGCAGGCAGTTAAGCTGCTTCTACCCTGTTCAATTGTGATGAGAGTCTAGCTAAGATTAGCCACCCAGGGACTCTGGGATTGAAAAAAAAAAGAGAGTGCGGTGTCTGCCTGTGTGTCTATGTGTGTGAGCCTGTTTTTAAGATAAGGGAGAATGTCGATGTTCATAAATAAAACTTTGGCCATTTCCTATCATTTTTCCTAAATAAAATAATGTCGGCCAGATCAGTTGGAGTTACCTTTTTTTTGGTGTGTGTGTGCGCACACGCGCACTGGGGATTGAACTGAGGGGCACTCGGGGCACCCACATGAGCTACATCCCCAGTCCTATTTTGTATTTTATTTAGAGACACTGTCTCTCTGAGTTGCTTAGCGTCTCCCTGTTGCTGAGGCAGGCTTTAAACTCTCGATCCTCCTGCCTCAGCCTTCCGAGCCACTGGGATTACAGGCCTGCACTACTGCCCCTGGCTGGAGTTACCTTAATAGGAACTTTGCTAGAGTACAGCCATTATATGTGGGTCCTGTTCTGAGGTTGTTTCTGGAAAGTTCTAGAGCCTGGAATTGAAATGTGTGTTTCTACCACACCCTGTGTCTGGAGGCTGAGCACCCTTGAAGGTGACAAAATCACAAGGGAGCCTGTGCCTTGTAGAAGGGGCCATCTTCTCTCTCAAATGGAGAAAGAGAAGGATTTGAGAAAAAAGGCAACAAACCACCACTTCCTTCCCTAGCCCCTCAGGGCCAGCCCCCAATACACACACAAGCCAAAATGGAAACTCTTTCTCCTGGGAAGCTGGATTTTGAAAGGCCAGAGGATTCTATCCATTGTGTTTGGTTCAGTCGCCCCAAAGAGCTCAGGTGTCTGCATTTGGTTATTTTCCCCAGGGTTTAAAATTCCAGGCCTGCAGCTCCGTGCCCATAGGAAACTGAGGGGCCTTCCTTGTGTTTGTTTTTCTCACCCTGTAAAGAAAACATAAAGGTTTAGTCTTCAGTTAGGAGAGGCCAGGGAGGAAGGAAAGATAATTTAAATCAAAGTACTCTCCCAGTACAAT